AGGACATGGAGGAGGAGGAGGAGATGGAGGACATGGAGGAGGGCATGGAGGAGGAGGAGATGGAGGAGGAGGAGATGGAGGAGATGGAGGAGATGGAGGAGATGGAGGAGATGGAGGAGATGGAGGACGAAGAGATGGAGGAGGCCTTGGAGTACATGGTGGAAAATGTTGAGAAGATGGACTTCGTGAGGGTGATGGCGGAGATCAATCAACAAATCAATCAATCAATCAATCAATCAATCAATCAATCAATCAATCAATCAATCATCAATCAATCAATCAATCAATCAATCAATCAATCAATCAATGGAGACCATCAATCGATTATGCACTCAATGAACAAATATGCCCGTATCTAACTACATGACTGTCTTGGTTTGTCCATGCAGCTTGAACCTTTGCTGCATGCCATGCTGACGCAGTGGTCTCACAGGATTCGACACCAATTCAAGGGATTGGAGAGTTAACAATCATTTATTCCTTGGGCCAGCGTTCATAGGCGGCCAGTCGCTATCCTGTTCCTCCCCGTCGTAGTCATGGCGACAGGCGGTAGACGGCCACGAGGGGGGCAGCTCCCTCCATTCGAGCCAATGCCTGAGCAGAAGCAAGCGGATCTGAGGCGAACACATGTGGTGTAGGAGTGGGCGGAAAGGGGGCAGGAGTGGGGGTTGACGGGCAGAGGCAACTTCCTTCTGCGCTGCCGACTGTGTGGGGAGGTGTTCACGGGTTCGAGGTCCAGAGCAGTGGAGCACTTCACGAAACCGAAGGCACACTGCCCCCGACGGAATGGGGAAATTTTGTATAGACTGCAAGCGGCTGGTGCTTTGTTGAGGGATGCATTGTCACTCAGACTGGCTGCTAAGCACGCAGACAGGATGGATGGAGAGCTTGCCGCCGAGGACCTGCGTGAGTTGGACGAGCCATGTGACGCGGTGCCGGATCGTGCAGGAGGAGTTGGAGACGATGATCGTGGTGAGGGTGGTACACAGCAGGGGCAGGATGCCCGGACTGTGAGAGATGAGTTGCGGGGCGTTGAAGGTGCAGGAGATGGTGGAGGGGATGGAGGGGGAGCTCGGGTTACTGTAACGACGGCCACCACCTCCACACAGGTGGTGCCGAGGAGGAGATAGACGACCCTAGATGTTCATCTAGGGAACAAGGTCCAACAGGATCTTGATCGTCTGTTGGCCCTTGCCATCTATCGAGGTGGAGTGCCCTTCAAATGGTTGCGGTTGAAGGAGACGCAAGACTATTGGAACTACATAGTCACACTCATGCGTCCTTCGATCGTGCCGGTGCCACGACTGCAGACATATGAGGGAGTCCGCATGAGGCTGATGGACATCATTTTCCACGAGGTAGCAGCCCTCATTGCACCTAAAAAGGCAAAGTGGGCTACCACAGGATGCACGCTGCTGACAGACGGGGCTACCGACAAGACCAACAAGCCCATCATGAACTTCATAGTAGCAGGACAGTCCGGACCAATCCTCATCCGGACCATCGACATGTCGCATCGGGAGAAGACGGGAGTCGGCCTGGCAGAGATTTCGGAGGGAGTCATCAGAGATGACATTGGCATTGATAATGTGAATGCCATCTGCACCGACAACGCAGAAGTGATGAAGACAGCAGCCGGCATCTTGCAGTCACACCCCGACCCGGCTATTCGTCGCATACCTTGGATCCCGTTTGCAGCACATTGCTTGAGCGTGCTGCTGAGGGACATTGCGGCCATGGGCGACCACTGTCATGCGGAAAGCGCACAAGTTAGTCAAGTTCATGCGCAACAAACAGCGAGCCCGAACACTTCACAAGACCATGAAGAACGCGCTAGTACTGAAGCGACCAGTGGAGACGCGTTTCGGGACAGCGTTCATGATGTTGGAGAGGCTATATGAGTAGAGGGGTGTTAGACAAGCTCGTGTCAGAGGAGTTGTGGGCGCAGGTGCGGTGGACTGGGGATGCGAGGAGGGATGAGCCCGAGGTAGGATAAGCAGAGACGATTCTTGGTGGGGGAGGGTGAAGATGGTCGTGGACGTCATAGCCGCGTGCTTCAGGTTCCTCAGGGACATGGACAGGGATGGGTCATCACCCACAGGATTGTGGGATCTGGAGAGCATATTGCGGGGGAGGGTCAAGGCTCTTGGACTGACAAAGGATGAGAGGAGGGTGGTCATGGATATCATATCCGACAGATGCAGGATGATGCGTCAGCCAGCCCATGCGGCTGCATATCTGTTGGATCCTTGCCGTCGTGATATCTCTTTGCTGGCGGACCGCAGCAGCTCCCTCGTGCAGAGCGCGCTAGACCACTTGGCTCGCTTTCAGGGTGCGGGTTGGGAGTCTGATTCTGTGCATGAGCTTTGGCAGGCACTGTGGACTTTCCATTGCGACGACCCTCGCTATTGGCCGAAGAGTGGAGCGCACTGGTGGGATGAGTTTGAGGTGAAGGACGCGGCGGAGGGGGGGATGCATGCAGCGATGTGGTGGGAGCTTCACGTTGGCCAGCAGCCGAGACTGCAGACGATTGCAAATAAGGTTTTGGGTATGTGGTCCACG